AATACATAGCTTGTCGCCACTATTCTTTACATGTTATGCCTTCTGCCTTTGTCCCCTATTACGATTATCAATTATCAACTAATTCAAAAAAAGATGTCTTGTAACAAGGTTGCTTCAAAGCCAAAAAACATGCAGATTGATTACACTTACCCTTCCAGTTGGTATAAAGATGGGTTTTGGATGATGACAGGAAATATCGTCGCTTGTCGGTTCGGCAATAATATTTCGTATAAAATTCCACATAGTGTTGTCACTTAAAGTGCCTTGTTTAAAATCGAAACCTCCAGGTCCATCCGTCGTTCCCGCCGCAAAGCTGTAACCCATTGCTGGTAGACAACCGTGTACCTGAAATTAATAGAGGGATATAAATACCTTATACATTCATCACTGCTAAACTTTATTGCTAAATTTAAGAAATCAACCATAAGTTACTCTTCTATTCGATGCTCCTTCGTAAACATAGAATTGTCCAAAGAAAACGTAAGCATCGAAATGAGTTCCAATCGTTAAATTAGTAACTAACTATACTGTATTCATTTTAAGAAGGTAGCGGTAAAAAGCATAGGGAAGCTTTGACCTTCACTGTGATTGGTTAAAACACGAGTCAGTATTACAATGAAACATAAAACGACTGTTGAATTTTGCAAGTTGGTAGGTAGGTTATGTTGCCAACTAAACTGCCGAAGTGTCATTAGTTGTTATTGTGAAAGATTTATTTCTGTTCGCAGTGCTGAATATTTCTAATTTACAATAATTTGGTGCCGTTTTATTTTTCCTGTGTGTGTTTATCTTCAAACACAGCGCCATCTACTACCTTCTTATAATGAATGCCGTATAAGTGTTATATTTGTTGATTGCGAAAAAATTGATTATCTGTAGAAAGAAATATTTTTATACTATAGTGAATATTCGGCGATAAAGAACGAAAGCGAATGTGACGCAATCTTTCCGAGAAATATGACGTGTTTGTTCGAGAACATTCTAGAATACTCGAGACGGTTCGGAAACGTTCATGAAAGGCGTTTGCTACAAGTAAACTGAATCGCGTATTGCTAGTGAGTTCTAACATCGTTGCGAAGTGAAGCATTAAGCTTCCCCTCGTGTTATGTTACAATATTACGAATTGTAGATGATAAATAACAATTACTGTTATAAATTAATCAATTTCAAGACTGTTATAAATTTATTGTTAATTAGTTAAACTTACGTTACAATAATAACTCTGAAACTTATCTAGAAGTCCGGTTGCACGTAGAACATCAGCCGAAAATTTAACTTTTTCCAAATTTAAAGTTCTTTTCATTTTTTTCTGATATTACGTCTTACTCTAAAATATAAATTTTGGGGAGGGAGGATGTGGATTTATGATAAATTCCATTCAACGCTAAATCAGGAAACGGCAAGGATAAGTATAGGAAGTAGAATGCGACAAATTTTCTTTTTCTTTCAATTTAAACCTGATTTGCCTGACAAGCTAAATTAGGCAAATTACATTCACGATTAACGGATTTTATTTCTTTTCATAGGCGACAAACATAATACGACAAATAATAAATACATAAATTAAATTAATATTCGTAACTAAATAAGGATGTCATGTGGCTTACCATTTAAATGGTTTTTAGGTAGGTAGTTAAAAAGCCCTATTCTTTTACAACGGTGAAATATGAAGTTATTAGGTAGGTAATTCATTAATTATTAAATTAAATGAATACTTAAAAGCTCGTATAAATTCCATATGGCTTCATACGGTTTCATAGCACACCTTTTGTAATTAGGGAGATATTTAATTATTTGGAAATCGTCGTTTTTCAGTTCTTCTTAAGTAACCTTCACTCTGACCCGAATTTTCAAATTTCCTTAATGGAATATTAATCGAAACATAAAACCATAATACTTTTCTCATTCTAACTTCAAAGATAATAAAGTTACTGATGCAATTCCACTCCATTTGGGACTTCCCTTATAATATCTACATATACTTCTTAAAACTCAAACAATGGCAGGTAAGCTAATAATTTGTCTTTGGAAAAGAATACTGATTTTGACATTCAAATTATACCGTGCTTTGAAAAGAACAATGATGTGACGTCTCCCTTAAAGTAGCATACCTTACAAAAAACTTAAAGGAAACATGCCGGGGGCTAGTTTTCTACAAAGAACATTTTACTGTCTGATGTTTCTCCATGAAAAGCATACGATTGGGTGTATTGCAAGCAGTTATAAAAAGACACGTTTATTGCATTGACAATAAATGATGAAGATGGAGAATCTGGTACCTAACGAATCTAATAAGTTATTTTTCGTTAGGGGATAGATAGCGGATTCGGTTAAATTGATAGGAAAATAAAAGTTTATATAAGATAATTTGAACTTCTTTAAGAACTTGGAAAAGTTTAATTAAAAGAACTGCGAAGTATAGGTACCTATAATAAGTAAGATACAAAATTACTACCGGTTGGGTAAGCAATTTAATAAACCTCGAAACAGTTACACAAATTAGATTTTGTTTATATTCGAGGTTCATTTAATGTATTTAAAAAATAAACAACAATAGGTACACCAGAGAAACACTTCCATAAATACACCAAACAATTTATTTATAGTTCATGTAATGTATATGTTACAATCAGCACTTTGAACTAATTCTGCTTAGTACCCTTGTATACTTGTACCATAGTATTTTATGTTATGCTTATACTCAGGTAGTCAGGTGCCAGTATATGACAGTCCAGAGCACTCGATAAGTCCATACCTTCTTTTTGGTTCGACGCAATAGCCACCCGCCATAGAATTTTCAAAGTTAGTAGATTATAACCAAAGAGTAACCATAATTTACTCTTTGTTATAACACTGGCAAGGTTGATTGATTTGAAGCAGAGGCATTCCAATAATGGTCACCTATAAGTTGTGGATCTAGAAATCTGAAAACACAGGTATAACCACATGTATGTTTCGCCCAAAAGATGTCAATATTGTTATCATAATATTCATTGGGGAAACATGCAAACGCATTATGTCAATGCGCAATAAGTGAATTAATTTTTTTTGTAAGGAAGTGTATTCTCATCAATCTCGTTGGGAAAACGCAGAACTGAACTTCATTATTTGATCAAATAATGTCAAAATCGTCATTTATTCATCAAATTCGTTGGTGAAAGGAAGTGAATTTCTCGCATTTTAAAAAGTTACGTATATTTTGACCTAATGAGGGTGTCCTTCTTGTATATCTTTATTCAAATACGTCCTGATCCGCCGCTGCAAAAATTCTCTAAATCACAAAATCATAAATACACTTTTTGAAGGAGAAAACCGAGGAGAAAACCGTTACTACTGATGAAAAACCAATTATAGGACTTTTAGAAAAGGTGAATCAGACATTTTCAAATCACTACATGCGAAATTAGATCACTTACTAGTAACCCGAAGGCTCAATCTTCAAATAAGTATACCTAACTTTTGTTTGAAAAGTTATTTAAAAAAACTGTTCGACAATTTTGTTCCTTGTCCTGGTGCGAAAAAATTCTGATTTCGACGAAATTTGGTATCTGGGCTACGATTCAGCAAAGTGAGGCTTGCTTATGGGGAATTATTCGTAAAAAAGTTAATAAGATGGCAACGTTGACAACAACCAAAAAGTGAATAGATTTTCGTGTAGAGGTTAACAAATGATATCGAAACAAGTGAAAATATACAGGGTGTTCTGTACACCCTGTAAATTCAAAAATAATTTCTGTAGAGGGGTACTCAACTATATCAATACAATTAATATTAACTTCGTCGTTAAAAATAAATGGCTATTTTAATTTACGAACGTATAAAGTTCTACTAAAGAGGCAAATTCACCGAACGCTCAGTGACCTCATCGCGAAGAAATGGTGGCAAACTCTCTGAAGTTTGGGTTTTTATTATTTCTGTGCACTAATACCCATAACTCGAGACGAGACGCAATTATATACGAGAGCAGGTCACGAAAGGGTTCAACTGTATCACCCTAAAAGCTATCCGGTTTTCAATTTATCTTGAAGGGCGCCCTTTTCAAGGGAGAGCCTTACTAAAGAAACACAGATTCTAAGAATAGTGTAAGTTACTTCATTTTTTTGAAGTGTATAAACTATTGGTGTGTTATCTTGAACAGTTTGAAGCGGATGCTTATATGACGTAATCATATGCTTAAGGCAAAGAACATTTACAAAAAAAACGAATTCCATTATAGCTTACCTTTGTAGCAGTTCCATTTGGCATCATGTGATCAATATATTGACTAGGCATATCTACGTACTGATGTCCGAAAATTAAGCCGCCGCGTAACTCTTCGTCGTTCTTATCCAAAATTTCCTAAACAATAGAAAATTCGTATAAATATAGTTGCCTGAACCACTTATTACTGATAGGTCAGGGTGAGGTACTTTATTGGTATAGGTATTGCACAAGTTCGGATACATTATATTTTTTATATACATTCACGTACAGCAACAATACATTCGCATCTTACTACATTATAGATGCAGTTTGAATCAATAATAATTACCTACATTTTGATTACGTTAAGTAGTAAATGGTGGTACGATTCACCTCTGAGGAAGAATCCATCAATAACTTGTTATCTTTGATATTTCGAAAACTACAATAGACCAATAAGTCAGATTTCAATAAGAAATTCGGTATTTAAGCTTGGACGACTAAAACGCGAAACGTATGCGATCCGAGCGCCTTTATAACAAGATGAAGTCGGCGCTAATGATAACTTGCCGTTACGAAGTCAGTTAAATTAGAAAATAGGAGGCATTCTTATTTCAAGATTGCAACGGTCAGAAAACCATTGGTTTATAAAAATATTCAACAAAAGTAACTTTTTTAATGGAACTCCCTATATATTATTATGTAAACTGCGTTACGCAGACGTTCTTTTGTTTTCAGCACCTTAAATAAGGTTGGGCCGCCCTGTATGTGAAATGTTCCAATCTTTGAAGTAAACCTGGTGGGTTTTTTACGAACAAACACAAGGTTTCGTTTCGTTTAAATGTCTTTCAGTATTTGTTTTCCTTTTAAAAATATGTGTAGATGCGGAATTTTTTCGTTTTAATCGCTTTTGTAAATTGTTCACTTTAAGGTGTGTTTTTAAAGAACCGTAACCCAATTTTCTTTTGAAAACCAGTATTTAAAAGCGGACAAATATCAAAAGTACGCTCCATAGCAATAAGTGTTTGAAAGGATCGCCTAGACAGTAGTTAATGAGCTTATTAATAATGGTTTTATTTACACATTTAAAATGTACATGGGCGTGCAAATGGGTAAAACAATATTACTCATGCACATTAAGTACAAATTATTAAGAATGCATTCCAGAAATTTATGCAATTAAACCAAGTGTAATTACCATGTACCTATAATCCTTATTCTTTATTATTAAAATGTAGGTATATAAATATCATAAATTTATTAATAGGAACGTATTGGATCCTAGATGCAACCCTAAAGTACGAGTATGTTGAAATGGTGCGCTACTGGTATATAGCCGCAGGCGCATTCCTTTACTGCACGGACATCTGAAACGAACATTAGATAATATGCTAGAGGTAAGACGCATTGGTCAAATTTTGGGTGATTTATGAAAGGTTTTCCGTTTTATTAGGTCTTTTGGAATAAGGAGTTTTATTGTTAGGCGAAATTTCATTAATGCATATGTGGTTTTGATAGAAAGTTGTAGGTGTTTTACGAAGATGTGAGGGTTTCACGCGTAAGTGGAAACGCGAGACACCTTTGTCGAAGCTGGTGTTATTCAAGTCTTATTGTGATCGGCGGTTTATGTGGACTAAATCCATAAAGGAGATTATTTTATGGTAGAAGTGGCGGATCTTTTAAATACGGGAGACAACGTTTTATTCGTGACGGTTTGAGCGCGTGATATTTGTTGCGCGGATATTTTGAGCAGTCGGCCTTATTTGTTTAGTTGGAGACGTAATTAATCGTGATTATAATAAATTAATGTAGAAGAAAGTAAGTAATCGTATTGCGAGATTTGAGTTCTAACGTCGTGAATGAGTTACTAAAAGTGCGTAAAAAATTTTTAAAACGTTTTGTCTGTTAATAGAAAGAGTAGTGGTTCGATGTTAATAAAACCATGCATAGGCAGTCTACGGTCCGAAAAGTCACTAAATTTTGTCATCTAATTCAATAAGTCAGTTATTTTTTATCATCAAGACTCAATTTAATAAAAAGGAAATGGGTCCCTGAAGCTGTCAGTTTGTGTATGTGTCAGTTCTAAGTGCGCCTGAATATCGCACGGCCAGATTTATTGGATTGTTGAAAAACTGTGTTTACCTCAAACCCCCCCTCCCCATAATAAAAAAAATACGGTATACAAAAAATAAAATTTTTCTATTTGATTATTCCTAGCTTTCTATAGACTGAGTAAACAAATGAGGGGAAACCTATTATTCTTTTAAAAATACGTAAAGATACACAGGGCGTTCCATTACAAAAAGTTACTTTATTGAATATCTTGGTACCCCGATGTGCAATTGTTTTTCCTGAAGTATACAAAATTACCCCGAGGTGGCAGATAAATTAAGGATAAAAAAAGGTTTTTCGAGAATACAACGATTTGGTGTTCATTGAAGGCAAAGTGGTTTAAGTGGACCGATTAGGGACCAATAAAAGGCTACATGGACGCTGAAAATCAACCACGCATTGCACCAAGCTCCTCTCGGTGCCAGTTCGATATGCGGTCTACCAGAGAGTACTGGTCCAATATGCATGACTATTATGTAGGTACATATTTAGCTTTGGGATTTTTTTTGGGATCTCTTGATTCAATAAGCGATCTACACCAAAAATTGTTTATTATTTTTATTATAGTTAATTATTCATAATAGTTCAATTCGAGGTTTAATTACAAGCTATTACACATGCAACGCCCTCGCTAAAGAAAGCAATAAAGTAATTGAAAAACGGGTAATTGAGTACTTTCACTGAGGGATGAGTATTATGATACTCATTAATTAATAATTAATTAATTAAAATTATGTCCACCCACAAAGAGGTGCACATTCTCAGGAATTGAAAGATCCTGGTTAGACGCCAAAGTGAAAATTTTGAAGAAAATGAGAGGTGTTCCAGCGCACACTTTGCAATCCCATTTAGATTATTTCGCATGGAAAGTGTTGCGAAAAAACGCAGAGGATGAGTTTATTGCATTTCTAAACGACGTTAGAGATGTATATGTATAAATTGACAATGTAATCATCTATGTATGACATAGTTAAACATAATAAATATTATAGACACTAGTTTGCTTATTGATCCGTAATACCACAGATTTAAATATACTATTTAAATCTGTGGTAATACTTATGTTGGTATGCATATTATGTAGACCGCATATTGAACCAGCTACTTTATGGTAGATCACATTATACATGGTAGACCGCATATCGAACTGGCACCCTCCTCTCGTTGCTCCCCTCAGAACAAGGAAAAAATCGGGTCCGTCTATATACCACCACTATTTTCAATTTTACACTTTGTAACGCTTTATTTTCATCATTGTGTTTACGGTACATTTTGTTGGAAGATCATCGTAACTTTTAGGAAGCAGTTTAATAGATGGGTCCATTTATTGTTGGAATTTTAACCACGCAATTTTACCGCGCTCACGTTCATTCATTTTTCATTCGTTCTGTCGCGAACTGTATTGGGTTACACTTCATTAAAAACCAAAATCTGAAGCGTTAGTTTAGAACGCATGGTTTTTTAATTGCCATATTCCATTTATAGTAATCTACGCCATTTGCTTTTTCCGTAATTGAAGTGTACCGTTTCTTTAGGTTTCGGCTGATATTTGTCATATTACAATTTCCATGTACGATTGTTGCATTCATCTATAATTAGCCCTCTTATTTAAGGGGTATGTACATTTTAGTTTATCAAGAAGGGGTGACTACCTTTGATATTCTTTCAGTTCAAGTTAACTAATAATAAACAAAAGTTGGAAGCTCGCGCTCAACGGCATAATCGTGCGAGAATACCTATCGGAAAATTTCTGGGAAAATGGAAAATATGTCAGGTAGGCATTCTCGCACTATTAGAGCGGGTGCATCATCCTGTTGAAACCAACAATTTCCAACTTTTTTTGTGTGCCACACATTGCTGTATTCGTAATGAAAAATGCTGCTCAATATTGTATGTACTTTTTTTACGGATCATATAAAAAATTACATTGGTGATGATTTCCCTGGAACGAAAGTTGTACCGAAAATCTCTTAACGCAGTCTTGTACAGCTCAAAAAGTGCCAATGAGAAAGTGTTTTTTTTTATTTTTTCGTATCTGTTCCAATAACATCAGATCAAAATAAAAACGATCTCGGCAAATTTTGGTTTTTCTGACCTATCTTCGGAAGTATTCGGAATTTTCCAGTTTTCTTTAAAGCATGATAGTAACTTTTTAATTTTTATATTTATTGTCTTTGTTTTATAGTGGGCGGAGTGTTAGCTAATTAGCTATTCTCCCCACTAATTGCTCATACTTTCTTAAATTTTTCTATGGTTTCGGAGATTCCTATGATAGACATCCTTATCTTAGTCACAGTTTATAATCATACAAATGTTTTTAACATTTATAAAGCTTTTGAGGAGCGCTTCTACTCTTATAACTTTTTCACGCATCAAGCCCTATAGGTAGGAACGGCCCTGAGTTCTGTAAGAACCAGCTTAAGTTTCGGAGACGTTTTACCAAAGAGTAGGGTACTCTTTGGTTTTACATACAACCTGAGTTCGACATACAAGTGTAGGTAACCTTGCCACATTGCGAGTGCCTACACCTTTGACATATTTTCCACCTGCTGATAACGAGCGGCCATTTTCTGGAATTGCGTCACCGGGCCATGAACGAGAATCGATCCTCAACAAAGAGACAACTTCCGTAACTTTTAGCGTATTAGTATTAACTATTTTTGCCCCTTCTGGGTTATATGCTGTCACATTCAAGTAATTTGTTATTATCTTTGCGATCTCAGTTAAGTTAAGGTCGAGTTAGTCACACAAACGCTATTCGAGTCTGCGACTTACATCAGAAGCGGTTGGCCGACTAAGTACCGTATCTGTGATAGAAGCTTGCTACGAGTAAAGCGAGGCCCTTCAGGCATTTTTCAACGTCTTGGAGTTAGCATTATTTATACACGGTAAGAGTTGCCTTGTATCTTTTACTTGTACTTCGGCTTATACGAGCGAATTTTTGCGCGGACTTTCAATTTATTTGTGGAAGCAAGCGCATAACTTTTGAAAACGTTAACTTAGCGCCCCCCACTTTTTGAAAGGGTGTTTAACTCAAGTGGTTCAATTAAACGCATAACCAATATCTACTCGTAGATAACTCGATAACTTAAGAAATTCGCATTCTTTCCCATTTCCAAGAAATTGCGTTTTTATGGAAGATAAACCCTAATCAATTGAAAATGTTTACTTACCAGCGCTTTTTTAAATAGTCGTTCTGCTATAATTTTGGTACTTTCGAACATATCTCTACCAGGACCATATGCTATGCAAGACTGTGATCTGCCCCCACAGGTGCTAGTTACGGCATCGCACGCAGCTCCTGTATCGACACATCGTGCTCCTTTAAGGTTGGGGGAAACGTCACCCAAATTGGTTGAAGCGAACGCTGCCACAAATGGGCCCTAGAATTGAAAGTTGCGGTAGCAAATAAGAAAAAGGGGGAACATTGTGTTCCCGAGTAACATCAAACTAAATCAGTTGTAGAAATCAATCATCTACTAATTCACATTGTTGTTAGGAGAGAGAAATTAGTTGGAAGGAAACACTGTTTACTAAGAGTGAACCGTGGACGAAGTGGGGGAGTAGAAGAAGAAGGCTGGAGATGATAGAAGCCGTGTAGGAAGGGGGAGGAGGGTACGTATCATCAATAAACAGAATGAACAGATCGGATGGAGTGGAGAAAGAGCACTATGAACTGCAATGCAGAGAGCTAATGATGATACCACACAAAACAATATTACAGCTGTACAAGATAATTTGCACTATGAATGCTTACCTTTCCAATCCTTTTGTTTTTATTAATATATTTTTCAAATAAGATGGATGCATAACCGACATTATCTGAAGACACTAACGTATTTGTGTTGTTCATAGAGGTTGGATGAACAGGAAACCAATTTATGATTCCCAACAACCTACTATTACCTTTTGCAATGAACTTCAATTGGGTTAGCTCTTTGTCCACATCATATTCGTACCTACAATTAATAATATCTATTATTATTTTTACTATGTAGGTAGCTAAAAGTAATTTAACCAGTTTCGAATTCATCATGTTTGCATATTATCCATTACCAAAGGTTGGAGAAAAAACCGCGGTATTTAATGTTTGTAATTGGGCGCAAACCTGTTGAGGGTCCAGAATAAGAGAGGGATAATAAATAAATAAACAAAATAAGAGTTTCTTCTTTTTAGTTTCGATTTAGTACCTATGTTAAGAAGGTTGTACAATTTTTTATTGTTTTCGTATGACTTCATAAATAGGGCTTCACTTGTGACGAAACATTGCACATTTCTTGAAATTATTATTAAGTAATATTATATTGCATAAGAACGAAAGTGTTTAAACGTAAATACTATGTAATCAACTTACTTGTCTCTTTCTACTTTTGGATTCAGTAAATAAGCTGAAGGACTTCTATTAATATTGCAATCCAGCAATGTGCCTGAGCTAATATATATTTTGGCCTCTTCCAGAGAGTTGTGGGCGGATATTATAGCCTGCAAATAAAATACAAAACCTGAATGAACTCTATAAATAATGGATATTTGAAACAGAAATAAAAATAAGTCAGAGGTATCAATTTAGTAGGTTTCATTCTCATTTTCCTACAAAATGGATGTATCTGTTGTTATTGATTTGATATAGCAAACACCAAGGATGCTGCCACAGAGAATTCCGTAAGATGCGAGATACTTCCGCGATCGGACAGTGTGAATGTTGAACGAAAAGTCCACGTTTTGCCCATTTTCGTAGGGGGCTTCACAAGGACAAAAAAAGAAACAAAATAACAATAAAGAAAAATATACAAAACCCTTGTAACGAAGCACTTAGTTTTCATACTGCAATTAATAAACACACTGTGTATATGTGACCGCTACCAATGTTATTGAACATCCGATATCTACAGGAGCTTCGTTACCAAAAGGCTAACGCCGTCTTATCCACCGATAAGTAAACCAGTTGTCGCATGTAATTGATCAGTTTTATGATTGTTCCCGTAGAGATATGTAAATTACTTTTGTAGCATCCGACAGCCCTTGGCATGGGGACGCAAGAGATAGAATTTTAGCTCCTTTAAGTAATTATGAGATGATTTCGGTTTCCTATAATAATTTAAAACGATCATTAAAGCTGCAGGGACGTGCAGTTTATTTCATTATCGCAGACCTGTTGCGACTGACCCAAAATTCCGGATCACAATGAGCATTACTGGGCTACCGAACTTAGAGATTTTAATCCGGCAAATTAAGTAAATGTAAGTATCAGTAGCTAATTAAATGAGTTGCAGTTAATCGCATCCGAACCAGTCGTGAGTGGTTTCATTAGAAGTGCGCTTAATTAATTAAAGAAGTTTTAATTTTTGGATGTAAACAATCCAATCGAATGCATTGCGTCGACTGGGAAAATCGTCGATCCCTCCCTGACATGGCCGAATTCTATTGTTTTGGTGTTTTAATCTAAACGTAAGATTACTTTTTAGCAATTGGTTGCTGTACTCGTGTACGTTTTGCCCGACACCGTACCGTTAGTTTTAAAGGTAAACGTTTGGTATTTTCTTCCGATAATTATAAGGGGAGTATTTCTTTTCTTTTCCTGTATTTGATTTCCCGTAGCTACCGGTAATAAATTTATGTTTTGTTGCTTTCGATCCAGTTAGGACAATCGCTACCGTGTCCGTGTGTCGTAATTCTGTTTTAGATGCTTCCGTTGCCGTTTCTTCAACTGCCTGTGAAATGAAACTCAAAATGCTACTGCAGGGAAAATAACAGGAGAAATTACAATTAGTAGGCGACATGGTAATTTTTTTTAGAAGTAATGCAAGAAGATATGTACTATCGTAAACAGGCTTATCATATCACAGGGATAAATAATGGCACAAGTTACTTCAAGAATGGTACATTCTTCAGAAAAACGCATTTATGATGATATTGCAACTCACATAGTTCACCTAGAAGCAGGGCCGGATTTACAGCTTGTGGAGCCCCCAAGCACAAGATAGGGATGGGGCCCCTTAAAACCAAACAAAAGGTTTAGTAAATGTAACATTTTACACTACTCTACTGGACATTTGAAATGGGAGCTGCCAAGTATGTGCCATTTTGCCGCAAAGGAATCCTGCAATTACTCAGGCCGCCGTTCCCAAAGGGATACATGCAAACCTCTGTGGCACTATTATTTTATAGTAGAAGCCATATAAATCATTGTAAAGCTTCTACCAATGCTGAATTTAATTTAAACATCAAAAATAGCAAGGTTGGGTTCTGCCGTCGCGGTCCTTAAAACCGCATTGTCATATGTGCTAAACGTCATTTTATATGGTGCTTCGTGTCCCATTTGAAATAATAATGACATATATCATTAGAATGCATAATCATCAGTGTTCCACTTTATCTACCCTTGCGGTTAAAGTGATCACTTTATCTACCCTCACAGATATAGAACGGCTTAGCCTACTCATTAAGCTATTAAAATGTCAATTTAACATCTGCTATAAAATAAAGTGTATTTTATATCACATATTAATTTGACAGTTTAACGTGAATGAGTAGACTAAGGGTCTTTAACCGTAATAAGGGTAAAGGTTAAAGTGAAACAAATAATTTTGCATTCCAATGGCATATGTCATTCTTATTTAAAATGGGACGAGGAGCACGATATAAAATAAAGTTTTACAATGATTTCTATGGCTTCTGCTATAAAATAAAGTTTTGTATTATACACGACCATAAAAGAAAACTAACCATCTCGTGAAAGAGAAAGAATTTATTTATAATATATTATACAAGTACGTTACGGGCTCGAATGTGCGTAGAAGTTTGACTGACGGAGAACTACTGAGAGCGGCGACGCGACGGTGCAGTGTTGGGTCCAGGTAACAGGTCGGTTAGTTCTGAAGATCAAAGTTGAATCGAGTCGCGATAGAAATAGGATGAATTGTTGCGGGCCTGTGGCCGATATTTGAACGGTTGCGCTTTTCAGCTGTTTATTGTAAAAGATTGCGTTTCATTTCCGAAACAGAAAAACTAAATTCTGAACCGCTAACAGATAGCGTGGAAAACAATGTGAACCAAATATACAGGGTCGCTATTAAAGATAAATATTGAACCAAAGCCCTCACACTCAAACCATGAAAATTAAAACAGTTCATTATTCATTATTATTAGTTCACTGTGTCTGTTCAACATAACTTCAACATTTTTTAGTATAGTGATACACTATTTACCTTTACAATTCCTCTTCGTAAGGCACTAAACGTTTGAGGAATAAACCCAAGGGTTGAAATATCTATAAGGAGATCCATCATAAATCCACCTGGTGATGAGTGTGTATGCGTTGCACTTAATATTAAATTTTGCTCATTGTAAGAGTCGCCGTATTTCTTTTCGAGATCCATCAGCACCTGAACGCATAGAAATAGTAACAAGGAAACTATGTTGTCATCTTTACCTTGCTTCTTAGGCCCGCTCCGATCATAGCTGCATCTACACTTACGAACACAACCCTTTGATTATCTTCTTCTATAATAAAAGCTCTCGCAAATTGCCGGAGGTGCAGACCGGTACCTTTCTGAAAAGGGTTTGCATATCCAAGCTGAAATAGTCATACACATTCCAAATCACCATATTATCACCATATTAACAATTACTTACGAAATGAATTTGGGCTATCGGTCCAGTAACATCCGCTATCCCGACTCCCACGCGATATTCAGCTATGACGGTGGCCGATAGGATGATACTTATTACAAAAAATGTATTTGGGATTTCAACTGGAATAGTTGTCTTCATGGTGTCTAAAAAAATAATGTTACAGATGATTAGACTGGACGTGTATGTGTAAACGATGTAAGAGTTTTTGATCTTGAACTACCTTCAATACAGGTTTCATCAATGACGTTAAATTCAATGTTATGTTCACGACATTTAAATTAACATGGTCAAACGTAGTTAAAACACCAGTAAAACATTTACTCATGTTACGCATATTAATAATGGGTGGGTTTATAGGGAAGGCACACATTGTCATTTCACTTTTTTTTTTGTTATTCTAAATGTTCGTTTAATCTCATAGTCACGCTTGCAGTATAGTACTTAAATTGAGTTTTTTTTGTGACCACGTCTGCAGACGGTCGTGAATTAAAAACGCAAGGTCGTCTAGTAATTTACGGATTTGTGATTTTTTGGCGGTAACATTCTATTGAAACAATAAAACCAATAATGCTCCTTTACATCCTTTCTTGGCTTCTTTATAGAAAATGTATGAACTTTTCTGCACTTGTTTCGTTTACTTCGCTCTCGCACTTTTGAACTACAATGCAATGTATTTATTAATCAACAAAGATTCCAAGAGATAAGTGAACATGGAATGTGTATTTCTTAGTCAAAATTGATTGGGTTGGACTCGATCTGAGGATCTTTTTAACTTTTAAGGTTGCAAGTGGAAATTTTACCGTTAGATAATTGTGAAGTGTGTACCTATTGAATTCCGTAAGTTTTTACCGAGGAGCAAAGCAATTCAAGAAATGAGTCTATGGATTAGAGGCGGCACTATAATTTCTAATTATTAGTGATTACTCTTGGGGTTGATTGGATCATTCACGACGCCATCGAGAAACAAGCGGATTGGCGAACGAACGGAAAGTATCCAAATGCACTACTTTTCCTGCTCGGGAAATGTGAAGGGCTCTATACAGGGATGGAAAAAATTCAAATTTCAAAAAAGGACCAAGTACCTTTATTGCATTGGATCGCTCGCCAAGTGGAATACTTAAAAGGGAAGTTTCGGAGTTGAAAGACTTTTTGGGGACTTCTGAAGCATTCGACAAATATTTTCTCAAGAGTTTGCCGACAGATAAAAGAATTTAGGTTCACTCGCCCTTTACCTGGAGAACTTCTTGTACCATTTCCACAGTGTAAAGTAAATCGTCCATTATAAAAACAGGATCTGAGAACGTTGGAAATTTTTGGGGAATGTTTCGTGGTATTGATCGGTAAGCTTTTGTAGCCATATAACTGGCGAAAACTCACACAAAAAATGTATTGAAATTTTCTTAACGGTGGTTGAACATTTATCATTCTGTACATTTTTTCCCAGTTGCCAGTGAGTGCAATTTTGGGTTGCCGAAACCGTAGCAAAAGAGAAAAATTTGCTATGGCTAGCAAGTTTTTCAGCTCTTCCTTTTATGTCTAAGAATATGTGTACCAAATTTGGTTCCAATCGGTTCAGCCGTTTAGCCGATAATGCGAGTACAGACGGACCGACAGACCGACATCGTCAAGATTTTGTTTGATTCGAATTCCTGGTGCTTCAAAACGTGTATTTCCGTCAAAAATGTGGGGGGCCATTTTTTACGCCAATCCAATACCTCCCTTACTAACGTGCAGGTGGAAAAAAAGATCATCCTGGATCATTAGGCCCACAATTTGAGTATCGTTTATAGAGATATTTGTACCTATCAAATTTGACACTGCCATCATCAAATACTACAGTAATAATAAGCCTGGCTTAATAACGACGTGATGTGGAAGGTAAAATCTTGGTATAGTGTTAATGCACATGTCGCCATCAACTGTTGAAATAATGACTACCATCACTTGTTGATGTATCCACGTCCTCGTTGGAAATTTTAGTGGCATGATCTAATGATTGATTCGTGTATGAATTTACAATATTCCTTGCGAAGAAACTCATCCTTAAATAATGTGTTTTCTACAGTATGAAAACGATGGCTCGCTGTTTGGAATTACCCAACTGCGAAAGAGTAGAGTTGAATTGAATGGATACAATGAGTTTTCCATCTGAACCTTGAGAGATAGTCTCAGCAAAACGAGTTTCACAAAATTTCACTTCTCTGGATAATAATGAAAATGTACTTTTAGTCTGGACCTTTCCAGTCTGGCAGAACTTGGAACTTGAATCATGCAGCGTTTCTTCAGAGGGCGTACCTAATTCGTGTAAACTTCCTTGGAATAAATGAGTCTTTAATGCCCGGTTTCTCCAACAAAATATAAGCTGTACCTTAGGCAAGGCGGTCTTAATTGTAAGGCGTCCTTAAAATTAAATTACGTTGCACCAAAATTTTAAGTTCGCATCTTAGCTAAGCATCAGAATTTGTCTGAAACGATCTGGCAACACAGAATTTTATCAAATGAATGCCAATTTTACTAATGAATCGCGTTACCGAAGGTAGGTACCTAATAATTGCAAACTGTCAAACTTGATAGTTACTCCACAGAATAAGGCCTTATTCTGTGAGTTACTCGTCATTGCCCCACCGAACCGTGCACCGAACTTGTTAGACATCGGCCAACATGCATTCTAATAAAAAAAGAGTGAATTACACTCAAGAAGAAAAAAAACTATTAATTCATTTGGTTGATTCAAATAAAAATATCATCGAAAATAAAGATACAAACGCCGTTTCAAACCATCAAAAAGATGACGTTTGGAAAATTATTGAGCAAAATTTTAATAAAAAGTGTTTCAACGTCTTTCGTGACGCCAATTCTTTACGGAAGCAGTGGAGCAATATGAAGCAGGACTCAAGAAAAAAGGCGGCACTAGAAAGGCAGGAGCTTTACAAAACTGGTGGAGGAGTTGCTCCTGCACTTTCTTCGAAAAATTGTGAAGCAAATGAACAATTGGTTTTGGATATAATAAATAAGAAGACAGTCCTTGGTCTAAGAAATGAATTTGATTCTGATGTAATGAAAGGTAAAATTTACACTCGAATTTCCATTAATTATATTTTTAGTGAGGCACACATAGATACAAGTATTTTTATATTTTGTAGAACCTATATTAGATCATCCAGCAGAGGATATTCTTGGAATGCCGATTTTGATATCTTCCAAGCCCAATCAAGAAGAAATTAACATAGAAATACCGTGTACATCCAGTACACCTTCGATTACACCTTTAGAACAAACACATGATGAAACTGAACTGTGCAATCAAAACGTTCTGCTTACTTACGAAGAGCCCACGCCCACACTTTTACGAGGCACTCGTTGGTCTGCTCGAAGGAGACCTAAAATTAACGCAGACCTGGGACCTACAGAAAGAGCTAAAATTGAAGTACTACAAATTCAAAAAGAAATTCTTTTGCAAGAAAAGGAGCACAAGAAAATGTTACATGCCATGGAAGTTGAGCACAAGAAAAAAATTTACTTAATGGAAGAGGAAATTGGGAAGTGCTCTTGTTCCAAGTAAATGTTGCCATAAAATAAATCTAGTATTTTTTCGAAGAATGAATTCATTTAAATAAGTATAAGTACGTATTTTCAATTTTAATAAAAAATGTTTATTGTAGTAGGTATGTTAATATGTAATATAATTTATCTTTAAACTTGCAAAATACGAAAATTACAATCTAGAAAAATATATATCTACTAAATGTCTTCTATAATCATAGCCTAAATCATTTTCTTCGGCGGCTAAAGGAATATCTCCATCTCGAATTGCTTGCTGAAGCTCGTGTTCCATAATTAAATTTTCAATAGGTGGTTCTGGTTCTCCCCTCAAACGAGCCAAATTGTGCAAAACTGCTGTAGCCACAATAACACAAAGTACATTTTCTAGCTTCATTCTACATCCATACGCTATTATAGGAAATCTTCTTTTCCAAACACCAAATAGATTTTCTACCTTGACTCTACTTTGAACGTGACTTCTGTTGTAGTTTCTTTCACCATCGTTCTGAACATTCAGAAAAGGTGTAAATAGATATGAAAGATTCATATAACCGCTATCTCCTAAAAAGTAAGTAGCGATTGTAAATTAATATTGAAAAAAGTGCTATTTACCCAACAAGATACTATTTCCAAAGTCTCCATTATTGAATCTATGCATTAATCGTGAATTTCTAAAAATGGTGGTATCGTGCGTCGAACCTGGCCAACGTGCGACGATATCTTGGAATAACAGGTCAGCACTTGTAACGGCTTGCACATTTACAGAGAAATATCCCTTTCTGTTTCGATATATTTCAGCATCAGCTCCACCTTTAAATTAAATTCTTATTTGTAGAAATGAGCGAATGTAAAGTATAATACTAAAAATAATGTGAAAAAAATAGTGTAGTAAGTACCTTGTGATTGAATTTTTATATGACATCCATCTATTGCCCCAATGACTCTAGGGAAACCAGCAATGTCGTAAAATTTATTCTGAGCACTTGCAATTTCAACTTCATTTCGAGGCATGTATATAAATTCCCTTGCAATTGATGCTATGAGCCTTGAAACTTTTGAAACAATTTTACATACTGTTGACTTGTCTGCATGCACAAAGTCTCCAACAGCAACAAAATGCCCTGCACTGGCATAAGCTCTTAACGTTAGCAAAAGTTGATTCATGGGACTGATGGAATTATTCCTGAATTTCAAAAAACATTATTGTACACCTTGAATTCGCACTATACAATAGTCACAAAAAGCATTATATGTAGGTAAGTATACAAACGTGAAACAAACCTATGAATGATGTGTACTTACCTGTTATGGAAGTACTCTAGTCTATGTTCTATTTTCTCCAATAAATATAAAGCAGTCCCTTTTTCGAGTCGAAATCGTCGAAAAAATTCAACATTAGAATAAATATTAAATAAATTTCTCCTAATGTGAATTTGCCGTGGTATTCGAATATTTTCTACTATGTCTACCATATCAACCACATCGACATCATCGACATCGATCAATTCCATTTTGAAAAGTGACGTTTGAAAGACAAAATGCCACTCATTTTCAACTTCACTAACAATAATGCCGACTTAAGTCGCAGATTTTCACGACT